AGACGCCCCCAGACCTATTTCTTTCATCTTGGTGCTCAAGAAACTCCATGGAAAACTAAGGAACTTGGTGAAGCAACGAAGGATCTCAATCGGTTTTGGTGATTTCGACATCTTTAATTCATGTAATTGAGTTTTTCATTATTAAACAATTTTAGAATCGAATTTCCATATCTTTAATATGTTTTTGACATTAGTTTAACAATTATTAGAATTTCCATAGATTCAGTCATGCTTTCTCTATCGAATATTCGAAATACTAGTTGAATTACAATTTGAATTATTTATTGTTGAGATTATTTTAACTTTTATCAAATCCTTCATAGATCTAGCCATGTTCCTTCTATCGAATGATTGAAATAATTGTTGAATTTTAATCTTAATATTACTTTATTGGCGAATTGATTACTGCCTTATGCTTGATGTATATGGTCGATTTTTGATCTTGTTCCAATAAAAAAAAATGTGCGAATGTGTTATAGAAAATCTAGATTCTAGCAATATAATTGGAATTAAATTGGACTTTATTGTTAAATCTTCCGATTAGAGAGTTGGGAAGAAAATCTCTAATTGAGGAAAAATACATAAATTATTGATGTCGATTGATCCAATCCATTGGGGGAATTCCGACGCTTCACTTATATCGCATATTGATAATTAATTTTTATTCCAAGTGACAAATCATTCCCACATAAAATTACGAAAACCCTAGTTTGTTTGATTTTTTGAGAAAATTTCCATCTCCCTGTGGATACGACACCCCAAAGCTGTACTACAATCACCACGTTATACTTTGGATGTAATCAGTACTCATGATCATGTACTTCTTCTAGTTCACAGAGGAGCCTTGACCGTGTTCTATACTACACCGAGGGGTCTTGGACCGGGGATGAAAGGGTCTCGACCGTGTACATATAGTTCACTGAGGGGCCTTGACCGTGTTCTATAATTGATTATCAAAGGTCTTGAGACCCGCTTTCGTTCACGCAGGGGCCAAAGGCCTGTGGCGAAAGTTCTTAGCCTGAAGGGCGGGTTACAGATTTTAGTCAGGATGGTACATTTTTGATGGATTTTTCAGTACATTTGATGTGATGCTATTATAGCATGATTATCAACTTATATTCATTTCATGACTTCAGATGCTATTTTATCACGTTATGTGAATATATCACATTTTGACTATAATTATATGATATTATCTTGCGAGTTATTCAATGATAATGAGCTCGATTTTCGGTAAAAATGTAAAATTGAAAAGGTATAATTATTTTTGAATTTCTCCACTCACTGAGCTATCAACTCATATATTTTTCCGTAATTTTCCTACAGGTGGAAATTGATTCTTTTTAGCTGGAAGAGCCTAATGATATTTTTAAAAGTTCAACAGTTATGTTAGTAAGTAATGTACAGCGTATTTCAAAGTTCAGTGCCAAAGATTGACATTTTAAATTTTAGTGAGCAATGTAAAACATGGACCTAAGTTCATTGAGTAATCGAAGATATTAATTTAAGTTTAATAACCAAAATTCGATATTTTAAATTTCAGGGGGATGAATCAAAGATATGGACGAACTTTAGTGACTATTGAAACAATTAACTCGTCCAGCTACATCATGTTCCCAGATATTTGGGTACTGGGAGCTTAGAGAGAGACTGAATGATGGATTTTAATCACATGATTCCATCTTCTTCGTTTGTTGCTAAAAGCCGCGGAATTCCAAAATTAACAAGTCCATCATGGACGAGATGTCATCAACGCAGCATCAAAATTTCCTTCAATTCCGGGATGTATTTTTCTCTCTTTTCTTGATCACTGTATTCATTTATCTTAGTATCCATTTACTGAATTCATCTGATTTTCCCAAATTTCAGCCGAAACTATTGGGGCCCTGCTTATGGCCATTCTCATTCAGGAAGGCAGCAAACTCATAATTGGAAATTTTCAGCAAAAAAGAGAATGAAGTTTTGTGTAGTAGTGAAATTGAGTGAGGAGCAAGTGAAAATTTCAAAAGAAAAAGGTAGTATTGCAGGTGCAGTTGCTCTCATCATTGGAACAAGTATTGGTTCTGGGATTCTTGCTCTTCCCAAGAAAACTTCCGCTGCGGTAAATTTAACTACATTTTGAAAGAAATTCTATTTAAAATTTTATAATTTTTATTTAAATTAGTGATCCAAGGGGCGTGGAAACACCAATTTTTACCTTATGTGTAAAAGGAGGCGAACGGGTACATTCTTTTTAATTGTTGAGACCGAATTTGTTCCATATTCAACTAATTTTTCTTTTGATTTATTGAAGACTGATCAAAACTAGAGGATACACGTACTTCATCCTTGTAATGGAAAAAATGTTCCCTGTTATTGTAAGAGTTGAGAGCAAGCCCGCACCAAGTTCGAGTAAACGAGGAGGTTGCATTAGATTGAAAGCCAATTTAAAATGATTCATATCGCCGATTTCAAATTATTGACAACAAGGCTTAGTTTTTTGTTTTTGTTTTTTCATAACTAGTAATAATTCACAGCATTAAATTCATCTAGTGTAGTTACTGCATTCGTTTTTTGTTGTTTGTTGGGGGTAAAAGGGAATGGTGAAGTTCAATTAGGTGGTGCAGATACAAGTTTTGCATTTGCATTGTGTTAACTCTTGCCTTTGTTTTGTGTTGCAGGGACTACTTCCGAGTTCAATATCATTGACAGTTTGTTGGTCTTTTCTATTAATTGAAGCTTTGTTATTAGTTGAAATTAATGTGGGGTTACTGAGAAAGAAGAAAATGAGAGTCGACCAGGATGAATTAGAGGTAATATCCATAAGAACCATGGCTCAAGAGACACTAGGAGAGTGGGGTGGAGCTCTAGCAACGGGGACCTATATATTCTTAGGTTACACTTCTATGATCGCGTATAGTTCCAAGTCTGGGGAGATCCTTTATCATTTAATCAATCTTCCCGAATCAGTTTCTGGAGTTTTCTTCACGGCCCTTTTCTCGATTTTGATAGCTGTTGGAGGTACACGCGCTACTGATCAAGTTAACCGATGGCTAACGACATCCATGATAGGTATCAGGACTAGTTCAAATCATAGGTCGAAACTCTCTGCAATTTCAAGAAAGAACTACGCATTTCATGTTCATAGAAAAATTCTTTTGGCAGTTGTAATGTTACTAATTATATTTCTCTCCTTATCCTAATCATATATGATAAAATGTTGAAACAGGTTTGCTGATATCAATTGAGGTTCTAGCTATTGTGTTGGGAGGATGGCCAGGCACCGAGACAAGTGGTGACTGGGAAAAGGTCCCAGCAACTATTCCAGTAATGATATTTTCTTTGGTTTATCATGATCTTGCGCCTGGTGAATATTCTTCGTTCTCTGCTACCACGTTTTCTCTTTTTATTCAAGAGTGGATGATCTTAGATTCTTAGTACTAGATTGAATGAAACTTATTTCAGGTTTAATCACATTGGATCTTTTTGTAGTTCTATGTGCTTATCTGGGAGGCGATCTTAGGCGAGTAAGGACTTCAGTTTTGCTTGGAAGTGTTGTGCCATTGGTAGCATTGCTTGTTTGGAACGCAATAGCACTTGGACTCTCAAGCCAGGCAAATGAAGTTGCTGATCCTGTGGAATTGCTTATGAGGTAGTTCATTTTCACTTACAAATTCATCCATTAATCAGGAAAACAGTTTGGCTAATCAGTTATTGCTTGTTAATGTTTCTCGTTGAAAATTGTGGATATTTCTCATGTCCAGTAGTGTCATCCCTGTTGAATAGAGTTCCAAACCAGCATGCTTACAGGCCTGGGTCGGCATGGGTTATGTTGTTGTGGCCTGGTCTGCCACATTTCTCTGTGGCCCATTTCGGCTGTAGTCCCATCTCAAGGTTGGCCTCGCAGCGAAAGGCCAATTATTGTCCATAATTTATTTTTCATATTAGCTTGCCTTCTGTTCTTATTTAGTGTGAGGTGGAGTGGACTTTCTTTCATGGTAGAGGCCTTTTCACTTCTGGCTGTTGGGACTTCTCTAATTGGCACTATATTGGGTTTCTCCGAGTTCTTCAAGGAGCAACTTAATAATTTGTTCTTGCTTCCCCCCTCAACACAACTATTAGAGGTAGATTGTCTTTCTTCCAAATATATTGTGACTCTTATCATCCTATCTATGCCGATAAATACTCCCTAATTTATGGTAATTTTACTGTAGCATAAATCGAATTCGCTATATTATTGGTGGAGAAGAAATAAGACAAACTTAACAGCAACAGCTATGGTCATTGTTCCATCTCTTCTTGTATCAACAACAGTACCAGATGCATTTTCAGCAGCTACAGATATTGCTGTAAGTTGAAATTAGCCTCCCTTCAGAACCTGGTGTCTCAAAATGGAATTCCTAATGTTAGTTTTGGAACAGGGAGGCTATTGTATGACAATGCTATATGGGGTTCTTCCCCCGGCCATGGCGTGGGCAATGAACAAGAAAAATGTCCAGGGCGCCGACCCAACAGCAATATCAAGAGCAGAACCTGCACTTGTTGGCGTAGGATTATTTGCTTGTGGGATCGTGGTGGAGCAAATTCTTCAAGATCTCTCAATGCTGCATTCCTGAGGAAGAAACCAATGTCAAATCCCCACAATATCATATCAATACATGTAGTCGACTCCCAAGTATGTAGGAAGAGGTTTAGTTTGTTGGTTTCATTTTGATTGATAGATCAATATGCATTGGAGGATTGGTTCAGTGGACTCACCGTGTAAATGGGCGGCCAAGAATGTTGGTCTTGAAGAGGAGTGAAATATAATGATCTAATTATACCCCACGTTAATTGTGGAATGCCTGACTTGTGGTTTACTCTAGGCACCTTCCTCTTACAAGTTGATTTTAAAGGTGAATTCTACCTAATTAGCTGCTAACAGCGCAAACTGAGACCATTCTCCTAGTATTTCTTTCGGGTAACTATATTGATCTTCCTCAAACCATGTAAAATTGTATCTAAATTATGTTTAAAGTTCGCAAGCTAAATGGACGAGCTTCCTTTCTCGTATGAAAAGATCATACTGAACATAAGTATACAACTAACATGAGACCGATTGAACTCGTTTTATTTATTCAAAGGGATTCACCTACACGACACACAAATATGCTAAAATACAAGACAAACACAAATTTTATTTGCCATTATATTCATCTCAAATTAACAAAAGTAAAGAGAGCACTCAAGTCTCAATGAACTTTGCTTAACCGAGATCTTTTAGTTCTTCACAGTTGTCACGTGCCTCAGAAGCATTTGGACAACATCATGGGAAATTCTTGAAGCCTCTGTCTTCAGATGTTGGATCTTTGCATCGGTTTCTTGTTCAAGGCGCTTTACATTAGCACCTGAGTCTCCACTACTCTGTTTGATGGAGCATGAGACACAATGAAAAAGCAATAAGAAATCAAGAACTTTGTTATGAAACCATTGATTACAAAAAACATTAGCCAGAATCAGCACAATCATGCTATAATAAAACAATTTGGATCATTATGCTTCAATGTGCAAATCAAATTACAGTTTTAGGATTGCATAAAGATTAATGTTAGTTTTACATTACCTCTGCCACCTTCTTCTGAAAGTCAGCTTCCATTTGAGCGCGGAATTGAGCAATCTCCTTCTCAGCCTCTTCTTTAGCCTGCTTCAGTCTAGCTTGTTTTGCTGCACACGAAGGCCACAGCACATTAAAATCACTAGTTCAAGAATTCATTACATGAAGAATTTGCCTATCCAAACTACAAGCACAAATAAGCCATAGCCAATTTTACTTGTGATTTTGAGCACAATGGGGCTAGTCAAGTAAAGTTCAAAGGGGCTAAGGCCCATAACGTTTTGAGACTCTAGCTAGAGATAAAGCCAGTTACCTTTTTCTTCCTAAATTGATGAGGGAAAAAAAGAAAAAAAAAAAAAACATATATGAGGTCTATTATACGTGTTGAAATAGCCACAAACCAACCCTTCAAGCTTTTGCTTGAAATAGATTGAGACTAGCGATCAAGCTTACGTGAAAAGCTTGCAAAGTAGGCTAAGTAGCCCAAACCACAAGGCAATGGAGGTACAACAGAAATGTCTCATGCAAGGACAATGCAACGCAAAAGATCTCTAAAAGTGGCTATTAGATTTATAATTCGTCTTATGGATAGCACAAGAACTCGTGTTATATAACTGAAGAGTGTGCTTCACTCATCATATTAATGCAACAAAATCTTGATATTTCGTTTGATTCTTAGAGTTTTAGTAAGTTTTGATTTGTGTTTTTGTGTTGTTTTATAGGTTAGATAAATTGATATGGATGATGCGAAGCTTGGAGAAAAAAGTGATTTTGGAAGGAATTGGGGAGAAGTTGATGTTGATTTTGGCATGAATCTAATGCTTGAGGATTCAGTTGTAACTTTCTAATAGTTAATTCAGACCACAAAATAATAATTAAAGATTTCTAGGAGTCATCCAATGTGATTAGAAGTCAAAAAAGAGTTAAATATGATAAAAATATTTTAACAAATCAATTTTCCACTGCATGAAGTATGTTTCAGATTTTTAGTTGAAGATTGAGACCTTTTCTTGACATAATAAACATTCGAATTGGAAACAATCATCTGAAGTATTGTAGCCCATTGAATTATCTTTCCAACATATTTTGAATCTCCACAATCGAATATCGAGAGAAAGAGTTAAAATAAAAATACTGAAAGATGCACAGTTCTGATTTTCCACCTGAGAGTAGGCACCATAGCCCCACTGTTGCTAAATTTTAATAGCAGCGCGGCATCACAGCACAACAATTATCGTGCCGCTGGGCAAGAAAAAGAGTTGATCTTTTCGGACTCTTTTCCGAGCCCAATCCAACCCTGACCCTTTCAAGACTTCAAGATAATATAAATACAATCCTAAAGACCACTTTTCAAAGAGAATTGAATGGGACAAGATCCATGAAATCAAGGAGGCAAAGGCAACTCAGTGAAGAAGATTAATTCATCCATCAAAAAGATGATATTTATCTTTCTTTTCTTCATGTTATTATTTATGCATTGTATAGATTTCATGTCTCATATATGAACAAAATAATTTTCTAAAGTTTGATTAACCAAAACTTGAGATATGATTTGATTTTGTTTTAATTATTTCTATGAAATTTTTCAATTTCTTTTATTTGTGCTGTTGATTTAATGCTTTCAATTCATTGGCGACTAATGAATTGTTAGATGTTGGTCAATTCCGACATTCGAGAGTGGAATTTATGCTCGATCACAACAATAACACAACCTAAATTTTATGGATTTCAATAGTGTGTAGAATCTAGGAAGCTTGTTCCATCTAAGAACCACAATCTTGATAAATCTTGATTTTAAATCGTAATAGAGATATTGGAATTAATTTCAAGGATTAATCTAAACCCAGCACTTGAGAGAGGGTGTGAAATTACATTGGGGTCCTTGCTTATAAACATGAAAATTTGATTAGATATAACTATATTTTTTTAAAATCATATTCGATTGTTGGGCGAAATCACACCCTAGGCTCTCCTATATTGATTGCTTTGTATAATTTGCATTTATCCATTGAATTCATCACAATAATTCCAAATTTAGATAAAACGTTGGTTCAAAAATTCATTCATCTAGATAAAAAGAGGCTACATGATAAGTGTGTTTTTACACACTTATTTGGATCATAAACATGACTTAAACATGGAAAAAATGGTTGAATTGTGACTTAATCCAGTTAAATTTATGCATTGTAGGTAATTCAATGGAAATTGTGGAATTCAGGAGAAAAGAGCCGAAGAAGGACCAAAACGCAACAATTTGATAGTTCGAGGACCAAAGGTGCAAATATTGAAAAGTTGAGCTAAATGCAAAACGAGAGGGAAGACATGCCAAGTATGAGTTCAATGACAAAGCAAAACGAATGGAAGAAGAAAATATTGAAGAGGGACTGAAATGAAGACAATTGAAAGTTGGAGGACTAAAGCGCAAATACTCAAAAGATATGCCGAATGAGGGGCATAAGAATTGATGGTATCAATAATCAATTGGAAGATAAAATTTGTTGAAAAGATGAAGAAATCGAAGAAAGAAGTCAAGAGAAGCAACAAAGAAGTTCAGGGACCAAATTGAACAAACCACATAGATGGTTACTTCTATGCGACCGCATAGTGTAACCTTCTATGCGGTCGCATAGACGGGTGTATTCTTATTTTCTTTTAATTTCGTTTTTCAATTTCTTGATTTTGCAATGATGATTATAGGCTAGGGTTTTTGTTCATTAGGAATTTGATGAACCTTTTGATGATTTAAATTTCCGTTATTTCATAAATTCAACATTAATTTCGATTGGACAAATGTTTGATTTATATGAGTTGAATGTTTCCATAATTATTTGGCCAATTATTATGTGATTGTAGATGATTTATTCTTTGCATTCGAAAGAAGGGGAATAAATTCGATAGAATATAAATCGACATAGGGTCCGATAGGGGATGGAAACTTACCTCTATGCTTTATGCAATTCATGAAAATGTTCATAAAATGTCATGCATTCTTATACATTGCATCATCCATAGAAATATAGGCTGGTGATGTGTAAGAGTAGATTCAATATATATCGAGAGAGTGTATTGGATAATTTAGGAACATTGAATTGGCATTTTGTTCATCTATTCGTTGAATTTGTGAAATTAGGGTTTTTAATAATCAATTGGGGATTCAAGTTCTTAATGATTTCATTTCAATTCATTTCAATACAATAATTCTAAAATTGCATATTTACATTTCAGTTGCGTATTTATTTCATTAGATTAGTGAAATTTTGAATTTAGGGTTTCCAATTTTGAAATTAGGGTTTTCTTTGCAATTAGGGTTTCGAATTGGGGATTTCTCCCGAAATTAGGGTTTTCATATTTAAACCAAATTTTCATTCAATTAGATTCGGTTAAGGTCACATTAGTTTGATTAGAGCTAATTTAATCCTCGTGGGAACGATACTTGGACTCATAGTCCACTTTACTACTTGTTAACGAACCGTACACTTGCGATGGGTTTTAAAATCGAGAAGAAATAATTTTCATAAACACTACACAATTATGGTACTTAGTATAAAATTAAATTACAATCCTTGTGGATTCAACATTCTTAATTTTATTCATATATTATAAAACTTGACACTGTACACTTGCAGTATAATTATGGTACTTAGTATAAAATTAAATTACAATCCTTGTGGGTTCAATGCTCTTAACTCCATTCATATATTATAAAACTTAACACCGTACGCTTGTATATAATTTACATTGTAGAAAAGGCGTAACAAGTTTTTGGCGTCGTTATCGAAGATTGTTTTATTTGATTTTTGCTAATATTATTACCAAGTAGCTTTTCTCCTAATTTAGATTTCTATGCTTTTAAATAGTTTATTTGGTTCTTGATTCAGGTTTACACGAAGATCTGTTGGCCGATTATCCTTTGATCCTGAAATTGAATGAACTTTTAGATTTTTAAGGAGCATACAAAGAAACGAACTCGAAGCAATGACATAACAAGCAACGAATCAGAGCATTCAACTGTGGGTCATTAGAGATTATGTCAGACTAGTGGTCAGCGACAACTACTCAAGTATTGCATGCCAAATAGTGGCTGCAAATAACTTTGAACTAAAGCCAAGATTGATATCCATGGTTCAACAAAATTGGTTTGGGAATCTCCAACAAATGATACAAATGCTCATCTAGGTTCTCTTGAAATCCATGATAATGTGAAGATGAATGGCATTACGAAAGACACCATCCGACTTCGCTTATTTTCCTTCTCCTTAAAAGGATAAAGCTAAAGCATTGTTCCAATATTTGCCATATGGATCCATCACAACTTAGGAGGGATTAAATCAGAAGTTCCTCACAAAAATTTTCCTGCCTTCCAAAGCAGCGCAATTACGGAGTAAAATTGGCCAGTTCAAACAAGCAAACTTAGAACCATTTTATGAGGATTGGGAGAGATTCAAGGATTTACTAAGAAGATGCCCTCAACATGGTTATTAAGACTGGATGCAAATGGAAATCTTTTATAGCTGGCTGAATGATCAGACAAGGACGGTAGTGGATTTAACAGCTGGAGGAACTTTGATGTCTAGGACAGCAGATATGGCCTACTCCCTAATGGATGAAATAGCCACTAAAAGCTATCAATGGCCAAGTAAGTGTTCAAGTGCAAAGAGAGTATGTAGACCTCATTACAACCCTTACAACTTAAATGTCCTCTCTCACAACTCAAATGGCTGCATTGACATTACAAGGAACTCGGAAAAGCAGATTCTATCATGGCTGTTTCTACATTATACCATGAGATTGAGACAAAGAATGAGCAAGTCCAGTAAGTGAATGACAGAAACTTCAATCAAAGAGAAAAGTACTCAACAAACCATTACAATCCAGGACTACGAAACCATTAGAACCTCTCTTATTGTAACAATGGAACGTGATGCAGTTGTCACTTGAGTTCAATAATAAGGCTTCTGAAGGAAACCCATCACTGGAGAATATCTTACGGACCTTTATTTTTAAGATAAGGGCGAAATTCAACAAGGACGAGTTCAGACTTGACAATAATGAGACTCATATGACCGACATGAAAACCACAATGAAAAATTTAGAAGTACGGATTTGTGAA